CACGGGGGGTCAGGGGGGAAACAGGGATGAGACCCCCAAATCCCATAAAAAACACCAAAAATCCCATAAAAAACACCAAAAATCCCATAAAAAACACCAAAAATCCCATAAAAAACACCAAAAATCCCATAAAAAACACCAAAAATCCCATAAAAAACACCAAAAATCCCATAGAAAATACCCCAAATCACACAGAAAACACCCGAAATCCCATAAAAAACACCCCAAATTGCACAGAAACCACCCAAAATCTCACAAAAAACACCCAAAATCTCACAAAAAACACCTCAAATCCCACAGAAAACACCCCAAATCCCACAAAAATCACCCCAAATCCCATAAAAAATACCTCAAATGGGAATGTGAGGGGGGGGAAAAAGGGGAGAAAAGAGCGGGAAACGTGAGGGGAGAAAAGAGCGGGAAACGTGAGGGGAAAAGAGTAGAAAATGTGAGAGGAAAAGAGCAGGAAATATGAAGGAAAAAGGGTGGGAAATGTGAAGGGAAAGGAGTGGAAATGTGAGGGGAAAAGGGGGCGAAATGTGTGGGGAGAAAAAGGCAGGGTATGTGAAAAAACCCATCCAGGGTTTTTACCACAAAAACCATCCCATATCCCCCAAAAAACACCCCAAATCCCCCAAAAAACACCCAAAATCACACAAAACCTACCCCAAATCCCACAAAAATCACCCCAAATCCCTCAAAACCCATCCAAATCCTACAGAAACCACCCCAAATCCCACAAAAATCACCCCAAATCCCTCAAAAACCACCCAAATCCTACAAAAACCACTCCAAATCCCACAGAAACCACCCCAAATCCCACAAAAATCACCCCAAATCCCATAAAAAGTACCTCAAGTGGGAATGTGAGGGGGGGAAAAAGGGGAGAAAAGAGCGGGAAACGTGAGGGGAGAAAAGAGTGGGAAATGCCAGGGGAAAAGGGGGGAATGTGAGGTGAAAAGAGTAGAAAATGTGAGGGGAAAAGGGGGCGAAACGTGAGGGGAGAAAAAGGCAGGATATGTGAAAAAACCCATCCAGGGTTTTTACCACAAAAACCATCCCATATCCCCCAAAAACCACCCACAATCCCCCAAAAAACACCCAAAATCACACAAAACCTACCCCAAATCCCACAAAAATCACCCCAAATCCCACAGAAACCACCTGAAATCCCACAAATAACACCCCAAATCCCTCAAAAATCACCTCAAATCCCACAAAAAACACAAAAAATCCCACAAAAAATACCCCAAAACCCACTCAAACCACCCAAAATCCCACAAAAACCATCTCAAATCCCACAGAAACCACCCCAAATCCCACAAAAATCACCCCAAATCCCATAAAAAATACCTCAAGTGGGAATGTGAGGGGGGGAAAAAGGGGAGAAAAGAGCGGGAAACGTGAGGGGAGAAAAGAGTGGGAAAACGTGAGGGGAAAAGAGTAGAAAATGTGAGAGGAAAAGAGCAGGAAATATGAAGGTAAAAGGGTGGGAAATGTGAAGGGAAAGGAGTGGAAATGTGGGGGGAAAAAAGTGGGAAATGCCAGGGGAAAAGGGGGGAATGTGAGGTGAAAAGAGTAGAAAATGTGAGGGGAAAAGGGGGCGAAATGTGAGGGGAGAAAAAGGCAGGGTATGTGAAAAAACCCATCCAGGGTTTTTACCACAAAAACCATCCCATATCCCCCAAAAAACACCCCAAATCCCCCAAAAAACACCCAAAATCACACAAAACCTACCCCAAATCCCACAAAAATCACCCCAAATCCCACAGAAACCACCTGAAATCCCACAAATAACACCCCAAATCCCTCAAAAATCACCTCAAATCCCACAAAAAACACAAAAAATCCCACAAAAAATACCCCAAAACCCACTCAAACCACCCAAAATCCCACAAAAACCATCTCAAATCCCACAGAAACCACCCCAAATCCCACAAAAATCACCCCAAATCCCCCCTTACCTGCGGCTGAACCCCCGAGGTGACGGGGAGGGTCCCCGGCTGCTTGGGCAGGAATGGGGGAGCCCCAGGAACAGGGGCCGAGCCCCCCAGCTGTGGGGAAAGGAAAATTTGGGGTCTGGGGGTGCAGCAAAGACACCCCAAAAAAGAGATTTGGGGACATCAAAGACACCCCAAAAAGAGTGGGGGGACAGGAGGGACCCCTCAAGAAAGAGATGGTGGCGCTGAGGGTGGAGGAGTGGGAAATGTGAGGGGAGAAAAGAGCGGGAAACGTGAGGGGAGAAAAGAGCGGGAAACGTGAGGGGAGAAAAGGCGGAAAAGGTGAGGAGAAACGGGAATTGTGAGAGGAGAAAAGAGTGAGAAACATGAAGGGAAAAGGG